GGATGCTTCCAGGCTTGGCAGCGGCGCTGGGATCGTTGTGTTCACTCCCAGGGGAACTACTTCGAGGGTGATGGATGAATTTAATACCTGAGATAAGTGTACGGGTTTTTATAGGCGCAGTCTTGAAACTTTCCGATCGCACCTCGTATATGACACGTAGTAATGTGTGAGGTTATTATGAAACCAGTTCAGAGATCTGCAATAGCGAATCTGACCTTCATTAAACCGTTTTTTGAAGTGGATTACACTCAGTTTCGTCTACCCGAGCGAGTGTAGGAAAATGGCGACGAGCTAAGAATGCCCTTTCTGCTCTGTGGGTCAGAGACTGTTTGTAATTAGTGCCAGTTTAGCTTCGCTGAGTCTTCTGATGGATGTTTATATCCTGACTTTGACCTTTGCAAATGTTTGCCGTAAGGGGAGCTGAATGACTAGGGGGAAAGGATGATGTCAAAATAACGAATAAGAAAACACTATAGCCATCTTGAGAAAGGTTTGATTCATGAAGACAAATTAACTTCTAAATTAAAATTATAATGTCACCGGTTTTATACGGTGTAAAACCTCGTCTGTCACTGATAGTTTGTGATTACCTGATGATATGACGATGTTTAAACAGAAAATTCTTACTTCAAGCAGAGAGAGAGAGAGTAACAGAACGGGGAAGAATATCGCATTATGAGAAGTTTTACAATCTGAATTCTTGCGGTATAGTTTAGGGACAAGACCGCCACGGTGGTCTAGCGGTTAGAACGCTGGCCTTGTAATCCTGGGGTCTCGGGTTCGATTCCCGGCGGTGCCCAAATTTATAACTTGTGTTGGGCAAGGCCGTGGTCTAGGCAACACGGAGTTTTCCTCCGTGGCATCCCAACAATTACTCCATTCACACACAGAAGAAGGCAATGGCAAACCACTTCTGGATCATCTGCCAAGAACGTATATGAACAGGTCCCAGTCCAAGAAAAGGATGGAAGGATCCTGTTCATATGGACCTGTCGTCAGACAGAACACTAATAATAATAAAAAAAGTTTAGGGACATTAAATCTTTGAGAATTTTATCAGCTGGTGATATAACACGCTTGTTACAGATGATAATTTTTCTTACCTTAAGAACTGTGAAAAGTGAAACACGCAGAAAGGGAAATGACGTTTTTAAATGAGGGTCGTACGTCATTTGTGAGTCATCTCGTTGCACGGTGCATGGTGCCTAGTGAAGGCAGGCTGCAACACAGAGATGTCAGAGAAGTTGCCGCACTAGAACGGCGCACTCAAATTTCTACTCAACCCTGTTCTGGAACGAAAATGAATTATGCAGGACATTTCTCATAACACATGCGCAATGCTTCTGAACTGCCATCTAGCACAAACAGCGAAAGGTTTAATGGCGGTTGAAGCATATGAATAGCTTATTTGAGAAACAACGCAAGTCCATAAGTATTTTTTGAGAAGAACATAAAAACTGTTTTTTTTTTACAAAACTATATAGCGTTATACTGAAGTATTTAAGTTCCTGAGAAGCATATATAAATAACAGACAATTATAAAATACAGAATATGTTTAACGTGCAAGCAAGACATGTAGGACTTCATATTATGTCCACAATTTATTCACGGATAGGCAAGAAAAACAAGAAAATTTATAATAATAATAGCCATTTTAAACAGGAACAATAACAATAAATCCGCGTCTGACTTCCCCTGGGAACCCTGAAATCACTGGATGCGGATGGTGGCGTCTAGACACTGTATTGATCCACAAAACATTGCGCACATCTGAGGCAATGTGACGGTGCTAAGGGGAATGAACAGACTTTTGAATACGCCACGCTCAACTGATCTGCGGGCGTCGTTATCAGCATACTAGACGTATCATATATCTGCATGTGCTTCGTATTTGAAATTAGGAATTATGGACTTTATTAATATCACAGCCGGAGGGCAAACATTAGATTCGTATTCATACGAAGCTTATATTAAAGCCATTCGTGTTACGAAACGTCCATTCCAGCTGCAATTGTATTCTGCTTGGTTTTGTATCAAATATTAGAATCACATTTGTAACAAAAGAATGTAACCCATAGTTTCACGTGTCTGTTTAATTAAATCTGACATGAAATGCGCATTGTGATCATCCATGTGTGTGTGTGTGTGACGTATATGAGTCCTTATCTACACTGCATGGGCAAAAGACTAAGTTTACCTATTGATGTAGAACGTCATTTGTGATTCATCTCGCTGCACGGTGCATAAAGCCTATTGAAAGGCAGGCTGCAACACAGAGGTGTCAGAGAAGTTGCCGCACTAGAACGGGGCACTCAAATTTCTACTCAACGCTTTTCTAGAACAAAATATAAATTATGTAGGGCATTTCTCATAACACGTACGAAATATTTCTGCACTAGCATCTGACACAAACAGAAAAAGAAAGTTTAATGCAGTTTGAAACACGTGAATCGCTTATTTGATAAACAAAAACTTGTTCATAAGTGCGTTTTGAGGAGAATTAAAGAAGACACTAAGAAGGATTTGAGGTTAATACTGCTGTCTTCTGGGTTGTTGTATCGTGTAGTCTGGTAGAAGTTTACCGACGTTTCAGAGGTCCTTGATACCTCAATAACTCATCCAGCCGATGATAGAGGCAGCAGGGACCTCTGAAACGTCGATAAACATGTACAAAGACGACAGGGCGCTACAACCCAGAAGACAGCAAATATCAGTTCAATGAGATGGTAAAGTTGCGTCATATTGTGATATAATAAATATATATTATTTAAATCTTGTCCGTCTAATCACAATAAATTCTTATTAAATATCAAAATATTACAATAATTAACATTTAAAATATTATCGAAATATTCGATTTACATTACATTACTAATGTAAATCGAATATTTCGATAAAGAACATCATTTAATATTTTAAATATTTTTAAATGTTAATTATTGTAATATTTTAATATTTAATAAGAATTTATTGTGATTAGACGGACAAGATTTAATTAATATATATCAGTTCAATGTTTTGTTTAACAATTTAGTACTGATAATGAAGGGATAAATTGAAATAAATGGTGGTTGAAAGAGGATGTTGTGTGATATCAGTTATTACGTCGAACTGTACAATCGTTATTCTTGGATGCAGCTGGTTCTCCGAAATAACAAGCAATTTACCGGGACTATTATTACGTAGCCATATGACTAACTGGAGCTAATGCGTAGATTAATGATCAAGCTGACATTTACCAGCGAGATCATTAGACTGAATTTATACAACGCAACGACAGACAAACAGACAGACAAGTAATTTCAGGCGTGGACTAGAAACGAGAAAAAAACGTAAATCAATTTATTGCATCTCAATAAGGGCGTCTCAATGTTTGCTGTAACACGAAGAATATCTTATGAAAACTTGTACTCTCACGTGACTCGGTCCAGATACAGAATGTCCCAAAAAACATGTTTACAATTTATAATACGAATATAAACCTTG